TTCAAAATACATTGAAGCTTCAATTACAATCCGCTCAAGAATCCTACAAGGCATCTGTAGATAGATTTCGGAATCAAGCACCTACTTTTGAAATTGGAGATAAAGCATGGCTTCTTCGACGAAATATCAAGACCAAGCGACCATGTGATAAATTGGACTATTGAAGATTGGGACCATTTATCATCCAGAAGCAAATCAATCTAGTGGCGTACCATCAGGAATTACGGGCTTCTATGAAGGTACATCCACTCTTTCATGTTTCTCTCTTGGAGCCTTATCGAGAGTCGTCTTTTCCTGGAAGAGTGCAATGTCCGCTACCTAGTATTGAGATCAAGAATCAAGAATACGAGGTTGAAAAGGTGCTGGATTTACGGCGAATGTGGGACAAGTTGAAATATCTTATTCATTGGTGCAGCTACGACATTAACGAGCGAACGTGGGAGCCAGCTGAAAATCTCGCCAATGCGCCGCAAAAGGTATAGGATTTTCATCAACAATATCCTCATAAACCTAAGCCGGTTTGACGATAGCTTCCTTCTGAAGCTTGCTCACCCAAGAATATAAGAAAGAGGGAGAGCACTACCAAAATTCGTAGTTGATGTAGTTATTTTCTCCAAGATAAAGTAGAATTTTTTTAGTAGCCATAGTTTGGTCTTCTGATATGAATAGCCAAGAGATAGATACTATGCCAGTCAGATTATCTCAACCAACTAGCTCACGAAGGCGACTCCGAGATGAAGAACTGCCTACACCACGATGACGACGGAGGATATCGAGTAACCAATCATTGGTGATTGTATTTGAGTTTGAGCTTACATATGATGGTCAGACTGAAGGCGTGTTTGTAGGACAATTTCACAATGAGGACACAGAAGTTCATGCTTGGTCAGAAGTCGAAGGCATGGGCTACTACCATTGGTTTCAAGGACCAATGAATCACTTGCCTTGTGAACAACAATTGGAGTTCATAGCAGACATTATGCGACAAATCTTCATTTTCTTGCGTTGGTACTGATTAACAACAACATTGCTTCTCAGAGACCTCGAAGCTAAAAGAAGGGGTGATGTTAGGGACATAGTCCTTAGAACCTTCTAGAGACAAGTTTCTAGAACCTTCTAGAAGCAAGTCTCTGGAACCTTCTAGAAGCTTCCTAGTTGGTAGAAGATGTTAGGGACATAGTCCTTAGAACCTTCTAGAAACAAGTTTCTAGAACCTTCTAGAAGCAAGTCTCTAGAACCTTCTAGAATCTTCCTAGTTGGTAGAAGATATTAGGGACATAGTCCTTAGAACCTTCTAGAGACAAGTTTCTAGAACCTTCTAAAAGCTTCCTTATTATTAGAAGTTGTTTGAGAAGCTTCCTAAATAGGAGTATATATAAGAATCGAGGCTGAAGAGTTCTTTAGTCTTGACAACACATCTCTTGGAGCTCTAGCTCACCTCTCTGGTGTTGTTCTTGTATTCATCTGATTAATCTAGTTCTTGCCAGTTCTTCTTCTTGTTAGATCTTGAGTCTGTATTTCTGTGTCCGTGACACATGGACGGTATGGATCATGACCATCATAACCATGTCCAACCATTGGTGTGGACAATGGATAAGCATCAATCATATTAAATCTTTGCAAGATTCATCTATTATATGTTAGTTGGTAGAGAAAAATGCTACCAACTATTAGATGCATAATCTGAAGACTAATGCAAAAAGTTGTTTTTTCTAGCATTTTCATCTAAAATTCATGTATAAGTAGGTTAGTAGCTATAACACATGTAGATGTAGTGCCCACTAGGTTAAGATCATCAACATATACAACGATGATCACAAAACCAATTTTATCTTGTTTCATAAACAAACAAGGGATTAGTGGATCACTTATAAAATTATTTGTAATTAAATAATCTCAAAGACATTGATACCACATTCATCCAGATTGTTTTAAACCATACAAGGCCTTACATAATTTAATACCATGATATTTTCCTAGAGCGGGTTGATTTGGAATTCCTGTTTCTAAGCTAGGTGGAACTTTCATATAAATATTTGCTTCAAGAGAACCATATAGATATGGAGTAACTACATCCATCAGATGCATCTCAAGGGTGGCATGAATTATCATTCCAATAATATATCGAAATGTAATTGAATCCATGACTGGAGAATATGTGGATTCATAATCAATGCCAAATTGTTGAGTAAATCCTTGAGCAACAAGATGAGCTTTATAGTAGGTTATTTCGCCTTGAGCATCTCGCTTGCATATTAATACCATTTTATATCTTACAGGGCGAGATGTAAGAGTGTCTACAATTGGACACAAGACTTTCCTCTTACGCAAAGAGGCATACTCCTCCTCAATAGCAGTTTTTTATTTTGATCAATCTGAGCGATGTATCGCCTCTTTGATGGTTTGAGGTTCAGGATCATCTTCATCGCAAGAAAGGGCTTCTATAATCATATATGCAAATGATTCATCTACTGTAATAGATGGTCTGTCCTAATCGTCCATGCTAGAGAGAAACACAACTCTCTGAGATAGATGATGCAAAATTAAATATAATAAGAGGTCGAATCATAATTCGATATAAACCATTTTTTGTAGCAAAAGCTTTTTCAACAACTTTATGATTCTTCGCAAGAACCAAAACCTCTTTTCTATTTAAAGTGGCAGTCGAGAGGTGATAACCATTAATACGCACATCTCAGTAGCTGATCAGACTCCGAGGTGTTGAGGGTGCAAACATCGCATGTTTACATTTTATGATGGAACATGTAGGTAATTTTACCATCGTTGTACCTTCTTGGAAACAAAATGCATTTGTTCCAGCCATGGTCATCATATTTTTAGTTTGCCAAGTTGAAGGTTTTTCAATAAAAAATTGTCTATCTTGCAAGATAGTATGTGTTGTTGTAGAATCAATGAGTGCATCATTTGATTCATCATTAGAGGTTCTATCATTCATATAAGCCTCTAAATCATCAACACCAATTGAATCCATGGACGCATCCATGGTATGAACTTCACGAGCCTTAGCTTGTAATTTCTTATTTTCTTGGAATATTTTAATAAAATATTTTGAAGTATGGCACGCTGCTAAATGTCCAATCATTCCACACTTATGGCAAGAACGCATCTCTGATTTTTGTTTTCTACTATAATTAATAGTAGAACGTTTATTCTTTTCATATGGGTAGAAATGGTCTTGGCTATGACTACCCTGATACTTATGAGCAAGTTTCCCGTATTTATATAATTTCTTCTTAGACTTTGAAATATTAAGTGCATGAGATTCTGGAACTGTAGTTCCAATAGGATGAGCTTCCGCATTGTGCAAGAATAGCTCATTTTGCTTCTCCGTAAGAAGTAGATAGGACATGAGATCAGAATGACTTTGAAATTTCATGATCATGTATTGTTGTGCAAGTACAGCAGATACAGGAAGAAATGTAGAGAGAGTTTTTTCAATCATTTCTTCTTCAAAAATACTTTGTCCACATGATCGTAATTGTGAGACAATACTATACATTTCACTATTGAAAGCATTTAAATTTGGAAAATCCAAGATACGTAAATGTGTCCAATCATGATGTGCACGTGGAAGAAAAATGGTCTTTTGATGATCAAACCTAGATTTAAGATTCTTCCAAAGTTCTGCAGGATCTTCCATTTTCAAATATTGATGTTGTAATGAAGGTACAAGATGACGACAAAGGAGAAGAAGTGCTTTTCAACGAATAGCAGGAGATATAGAAATACTTGTTGTAGGAGATTCTTCAAACATAATGGCATCTGAGAATTGTTCTGCAAATAAATTTGCTTTTGCCATTTTTGCCCATAATAGATAATTGTTTCCATCCAAAGTCAATGGTGGTAATAAAAGAGCTTGAAAATGTTGGGATGCACTGGTAATAGTTGGAACCATAGTAAAAGCAGTTGAAGATGTTGAAGCACTCATTATAAATAAATCTGTAAAGAAAGTACAAGATCAAGTAAAAAAGTTGAGTAAAACGTACCTTAAAATATAAAGTCAAATAAAATGATAAACTTGAACTTGAAAAAGCAAAAATATATAATTTTTTTTATTTTAAAAAGAGAGAGTTGTAGATTAAGGCATCAAAACAGTAATAGGATGGCGGCAACGGTAGGGGGGCAGGGTAGCAATGGCGGGCGGTGGCAGGCAACGGTGGACAGCAGCAACGGGTGGCAGGAGGTGGCAACAACGATAGCGACGGACAGCTACGGCGGGTGGCAGCGTCAATGGCGATAGGGTGGCAACGGCAAATTTGGCAGGTGTTCGGCGACAATTTGGCGTCTGTTTGATGGCAGTTTGGGGGCAAGCGCAGGGCACAGTAGAGAGTAAGCAGAGGGTGGAGTTAGGCTGGATTAAGTATTCAAAGCAAGCAAGGTAGGGAGTAGAACAAGTACTCTAAGCAAGCAGCTAATGGGTGAAGGGCGAGCAAGAAGAAGAAGATCATGATGCAGACACTGAAGAAGGGTAGCAACAGGTTTGAAGAGTCAAAGACTAGAGCAAAAAAATTGTGATAGTGTGTAGAAGAGAGTAGTGCTGATAACATGTTGAGAATGTTTAGAAAGACACAAGAGTAATAGTAAGTCATACACACACACAAGAGTAGTAGTAAGTCATACACACAAGAGGGTTTCTAAGGAGAGAGAGCTTCACACACACACTTCTATTAATCTGGTTGTGTCTCATATACAAGAAGAGAAAAGAGGAGAGGATAAACAATACTTCTCCACTAGACTCTAAATACTGTAACTACAGTAATTACTGTAGTCTACAGTAAATATTATGAAGAGCGTCGGCTACATTTAATGATCTCAACAAGATTCATCCAGGAAGTCACGTTAAGACGACTTGTGCAAGGCGAGATCCAGCCCTTAAAACTGCTCCAGTTCTGATACTTTGCCAACCTGCGATACCCTGCTGTTCATACCCACCTCCGCGCCTAAGCTGGGCATCGACATGACACCCGCTAACGACGCGGCAGCTGTTCCAAACTGTCCACGCCCGTTTTCAAACTCGTATGTCCTGCTAATTACTACTATCATCTCTGCGGATTACAGTTTCTTGGCATGGCGTGATTTTTGCGCGGGTCAATCAACTCACAGGAGGTCTTGTGTTTTAGCATTTGCAAAACGAGGTGTCGTGGTTGCGAACCCAACGAGGAAGATGCACAAACCTTCTTTTTCTGGTCTTTACGAGCTCTAGCGGCGTAGCGGGGATCGCATTAGGGTTTTGGAGGTTTAGGGTTCAGCCACAGCTATGGCCCTGAAGCCTGCAGGTGGATTCGGCACGGATCCCGTGATGGGAGATCTTGTCCCGGACAAGAAACGATCGCGTGAATACAAGGTGACTAACCGATTACAGGAAGGCAAGAGGCCGCTGTATGCGATTTGCTTCAACCTGATCGACTCCCGCTTCTACCACGTCTTTGCATCAGCGGGAGGGAATAGGGTCACGGTGTACCAGTGTCTACCCGAAGGTGGAGCGGTTGCAGTTTTATTAGCGTTCGTTGACGAGGACAAAGAAGAGGAGTTTTACACCGTGAGCTGGGCAGTTGGGCGAGATGGCAACCCCTTGCTGGCGTGCAGTGGCAGCAATGGAGTCCTCCGCATCATTGATTGCGAGAGCGAGAAGCTGCAGAAGAGCTTCGTAGGGCATGGTGACTCCGTGAATGAGCTTCGCACCCAGACTTTGAAGCCTTGCCTCATTGCTTCAGCGAGCAAGGACGAGAGCGTGAGACTGTGGAATGCCGACACTGGTGTCTGTGTGCTTATCTTCGCGGGAGCAGGGGGTCACCGCAATGAGGTGCTCAGCGTCGATTTTCATGGCTCGGATATATTGCAAATGGCCAGCTGTGGGATGGACAACACCATTAAAATTTGGTCCTTAAGGGATTACTGGAAGTTCGTGGAGATGTCGTTCACATGGACTGACTCCCCATCAAAATTCCCCACCAAGTACGTCCAGTTTCCAGTTTTCAATGCTCTGGTACACAGCAACTACGTCGACTGCACGCGCTGGCTTGGGGATTTCATTCTATCCAAGAGTGTCGACAACGAGATTGTGCTATGGGAGCCGCTGCTTAAGGTTTCTGGGACGACAGGAAACGAGGGAAAAGTGGACGTTTTGCAAAAGTACCCCGTTCCTGAGTGCGATATCTGGTTCATAAAATTCTCCTGCGATTTTCACTTCAATCATCTTGCCGTAGGGAACCGCGAAGGAAAGCTGTTCGTGTGGGAGGTCCAGTCGAGCCCGCCTAACTTGGTTGCGAAGCTCTCACATCCCCAGTGCAAGTCTCCGATTAGGCAGACGGCGACCTCGTTTGATGGCAGTACTATCATGTGCTGTTGTGAGGATGGCTGCATTTGGCGCTGGGATGCTGTGTCTTGATGATCGTGGATATCTGGAGCCAATTTCAATGTTTGTGAAACTCTAAATCTGTGAGCTCATTCATTCCTCGCTGTAAGGTTCCGCTCACCACCCGTACCTCTCTGCCATTGATTTTGGTGATGGAATCAAACACCCCAATGAGCTCCTCCGAGGATGGGTGCGTGCATTGTATTTTGAGGTTAGGGTTTGGATTAATCCCACACAAGCAGGCGACATAGGGTATTGAGAAGATGCGTTTGTTTATCGACGCTGAAGGACATATTTGAAGCCTGCAAATGCAAAGAGTAAAGAGCAAGGTTTACAATGATCTTAAACAATGGAGGTAGAGACGTGTAGACTACGCAAGGATTTCAGTCTGATAGGTGTTTGTAAAGTAGGAACCCACTTGAAAAATTTGCTGAATGGAAGATGACGCGGGTGGGATCACTCCTTCACAGTGTTTGACAAAGCAGCGGACAGTCACAGTTGACACTCGTAAGTTTTTAGTGCGGTCTTTCTAGCGTGGTTACTTTATTTCCGCTAGGGGCTGGATGCCTCAGGAAGTCTGTCTAGCATGTGCATTGATTTACGCCACTGTTTATATGGCTATGACCCTAGCGAATTGCATGCAGGTAAGTCGCACTAGATGTCGATCTCCACCTTGAAAAGGAAAAAAAGGAGATTGCTGAAGCATTCAATATGTGCTCTCTCAACTCGTGATTGTCCCATCTTCTTAGAAAGGTGGCATGTATGATTGTCCCATCTTCTTAGAAAGGTGGCATGTTCATCAAGATGTTTGGCTAATTTCTTTTAAATTGTTAACCAATTAATTTGTCCATACTTTATAAAGACTTCCATATCATGGTTCTTACATGGAGCTCACTCCATGTTTCTTGTTCAAAAACAAAGTGGTTTCTTTGAGTTTATATGTTCAAAAAGTATAAGCTTCTAAGTAGAGACCAAATCTACAAACTTATTTGAAGATTTGAAGATTTGAAGTAAGTTTGTAGACAAAGGAGGTTGCCTAATTCTATAATATGTGCTTGTTGACTCTTCAAAAATCTATGCAAGATTGTTCTAAATTTTGAGGGAAAGAATATAATACAATGAATATTAAGCTAGAACTAACTTATCTTTTTTATGTATTGACTATCATATTTTTATGCCATATGAGTCAAATAAACATGGCTTCTTTCTAGCATATTGATCAGATGTCAAATTATTTAAAAGAGTAATTTAATTCAAATAACAAATTTTATTTTTTATCAGCTAGATTGATAGAAGAAAAGTTTCTTTGTAAACTTTTTATCCAAGTTTTGTAGAATAAGTCATAAGTTCTGCTCCTTCAACCTAAAAATATGATTTGGAATCAACCATTAGTTTCCTAATTGGACCATACAAAAGACCAATGGGATTAAAAACTTTTTGAAGAAGAATTACTTTTGATGCCATTCTTGTAATTTTTAGGAAGCTAATAATTTGACTATTATTACCGTAAGGTTGTGTGTTGGCTTGTTTGAAAGATAAAGTGACATTATATTATAAGTTTTTAAGTTGAGTGTCTGCTCAAAATATTTTAATATTTTATTTTATTTTGATAGGATAAACTAATTGTCTTCTTTGACTTCTACAAATTGATATAGGAATTGGAATACTACAAAAGGTAATAGATCCTTTTCCAAGGTATATAAACCAATAAAATTTTCTTCTTTTTTTAAGGCTTTGCATTGATGGACTACAACTTTTCAAGCCTTATGAAGATAGTAGTGGATTTTATTCTACATGTAACTAATACTAGAATTCATCATATAATATTATTAGAATGCCTCTTCATAAGGCATAGGCTGTAAGTAGAAATATGCATATATGATGAATAATGATGGAAAGGTATAGAGCTGAGAGACATCTAAGTTTCATTTTTTTTTAATAGAAAAATATTTTGTGAAAAATCTATTGATTCTTATTAAGGTACCTATCCTATAGAATAAAATTCCTATTATATGATAGAATTGATCATTAAATTCTAATTTTTTCATTGATTTAAATAAAAAAATTGATAAAACTTTGTAATAGGCTTTAAAAAAATCAACTTTTTATAATGAAAAAGATTAATTGGAATTTTTAATCTAATTAATTGTTTCTTGAGTTATTAGAACATTGTTAAGAATACATCTCATAAAAAAAAAAGCTATTTAATTTAGGTGTATGATTTCCATTAGTATGGATCATAGACTTTTAAAAATAGTTTTAGAATTAATTTTATAATATGTATTTAGTAATATAATTGGGTTTTAATATTTTTTTAATAGAATAAAATAATATATATTTTTAAAATATAATAAAAAATATTCTACTTTAAGTGCTTATTTAATTGATACCATATAATCTTCTTATATAATGTACTAGAATAATTTAAAAAAAAAACTCAATATTTATTCTATTTTGTTTTTGGCCATTTCTTTTATAATCTTATCTAATTTGTTCAAGTTGAAGAAATTAGTGAAATTATCATTTATAATATCATTGATTTTACGTCATGGATATATATATTTATTTAGATAAGAAATACTAGATAGAAGATAAATGTAAGTAGATTTGATATTATCTTGTGGCAAAACTTATTAAAAGCTAAATAAACACATATTTGACTTCATACATATTTGTAGTTCATTGGTAGGTTAGAAACTTAGCCAACAAATTAGCCATGTGTTGTACATATGGATAGTTTGTGATATAAGCTAACAATGTGGCATATAGATAAGAAACTTGCTTTATAAGTTAAGACATGTGTTTTGTAAATTAAATATATATTGGAAGTCCTATAGAATTTTGCTATGTAGCTCCTAATTAGATAGTATATATGGAAGCAAGAGAGAATCTTTCTTCACTCTTATTAATACCAATCTATTCTTTACTCTTGTTTTAAGACATTTTAATCTTCTTGTCTTTGGCAATAGTCATTCTAAGTTAATATTATATTATCTTTGAATAATTTTCTAGTCTTTTTGACTGATACAAGAATTTATTGAACTTTTAGTTCTTTAAAATTTATGTCTTTAACAATTTGATAGGAGTGTTAATTTGTTTATGTTTTATTTTAGAAGTGAGTGGATTACTTTACTTTTACTATTTTATTTTGAAATTTGAAAACTACTCATCTTTAAACTAACTTTTAGTTTTTTAAACAATGATTTTTTTCTTTAAAGAGAGTAGAGTGTTGTTTTTTGTAGAAATTTTCATTTGATATTAGAAGTTGCAAATTATCTTTTTTTTAATTTAAATTATGAATTTATTTAAATTATTTAGGAAAGAAAAAGCTATAGATACTATTCATGGCAAAAGTGAAAATAGATTTGCAACTATTGCAAATCTTTATAAACTTGTCAACACTCTTAGGATCAAAATCTCACATATTTCTAATGTAAATCATAGAGGTATTATTTCTACACATATAGAAGGAATCAAAAATGAAGTTCATGCTTTACACCAAGAAGCAATTAAGAGAAGCAAGTAGATTAAGTATATAATTGAATGTAAGAAGTTTTGTTTCTATAAATATGAAGGAGATAAGAATAAGTATATTGAAAAAGCTTGACAAAACAAAATCAAAGTTTTGAGGATTTCTACAATAAGTGAAGCTCTTTCTAAGGTTGCATCCTTTTCAATACCTTCATGGATTTATTGAAGTTGGATTCATAGGTACACTTTTATTTGAGAGTGCTCTCTCTTGATTTGCACTTTTGATGGAAAAGTATTCATGACTCTTTTATAATTTGAATTCATTCTTAGAAGTGTTTATGGTTACATTTGGAGGAAGTAATTGAAAAATGATAGTAAAGACCAAAATCCTATCTTTCCAAGAAAGATTATCTTCAACCACCATATATGATGCAAAATTCTAAAACCTTCCTTACAATGTGGATTAGAATAATAGAGCCGTTATTAATCAATTTTGATATAGGTTGAAAGAAAATATCTAATGAGTTACATTTAATATAATTAGATCTTTTTTTAATGAACAACATTTAATATAATTAGATCTTCTTCTAATCTAGTTATTTTAGGATTTTTGTGGCTAAAAAAATATAATCCTCAAATAGACTAGATTTCTTATAATCTTGATTTTTTTCGTAGTTTAGTCTAAGATTTTGCAAGTCAAGTAGAAATTTATAAGTTGAATACATCCAAATTCTTATTGATAGGTGCGAGAGCTTTTATGCATGCTATAAAAGAATAGTCAATTTTTTATATATATGCCACACCTATTTTTGATTAAAAAAATATTTCAATTAGTATTTAAAATTAATATTAAGATTATCAAGATTTTTTTAAAAGAAAAAATAAAAATATTCTTTCAAAGTATTATTTCTATTGATCTTCATGAAAGACCTCAACTACTATTCTATTGATCTTCATGAAAGACCTCAACTACTATTTGGACCAATCTATAACTTATTACAAAAAAAATTGATTACACTTAAAGAACACATTGATGAAAAGTTTACTAAAAACTTCATATGTCATTCTAAATTTCTAGAAGAGGCTCTTATCTTATTTGTAAAAAAAAAAAGATGGATCTCTTTAAATGTGTGTGGACTATCAAAGAGTTAAAAAGATCACCATCAAAAATTGGTATCCTCTATCTTTAATTTTAGGACTTTTTAATTAATTCAATTAAACAAAGATCTATATAAAAATAGATCTATAAGAAGAAAATTATTTGATATGTATTAAAAAAAATATGAATAAAAAATTAAATTTCAAACTTGGTATGAGTATTTCAAATATAATATCATACCTTTTGGACTCACAAATGCACTAGCTACTTTTTAACATCTAATAAATGATTTTTTTTGTGAATTTCTTAATGACTTTATTACCTATTATCTATATGATATTTTAATCTATTTTAAGAATATAAAAAGTATAAATTTCATATTTTTTGTGTGTTAAAAAAAATTAAAAGATGCAAGATTATATGCTAAGATGAAAAGTGTATATTTTACTTTACTTAAATTGACTTACTAGGATATATCATTTTAAATGATGGCCTTATGATAGATCTTAAGAAAATCATGACTATTATGAATTGGAAGATTCTGAAAGCAATTAAAGATTTACAATATTTTTTTAGAATTTACCAATTATTATTGGATCTTCATCAATTTTTTTTCTCAAATTGTAGCTTCTTTTACATGTTTGATATATAAAAAAAACTTGAGTAGAAAAAAGAAGCTAAAACATCTTTTGAAGCCTTACAAATAACATTTATTTTTATATCAATCTTGTATTGTGTTGACTTTTTTAAGGTTTTTTTTTTTTTTTTTTTTTTTTTTTTTTATGAAAACATATCCATCAAACTTTGTTTTAGATGAAGTGTTGTTACAAATGGTAGCAAATAACAAGCTCTATGTGGTAGCTTTCTATTTCAAGAAATTTTTAGTAACTAAGATTAATTATGAGATCGACAATAAAGTTTTTTTTTTTTTTTTTTTTAAATTGTGGATTCATTAAAAGAATGACATTGTTAAGGATAATTTAAAAAGTTTTAAGATGATTGGACAAAGTGTAAATAGGTCTAAGCAAGGCCATTTGAATATTGAGTCAAATATGGCTTTGGTCTCTTTTTTTCAATTAAGTTTAGTTTGTACTTTTTCTATTTTATTTTATTTTATTTTCTTTTGTTCTATTTTCTATTTTATTATTTTATTTTTTAAAATTTTATTTAATTTTTTTCCAGTTTTTTCTATTGTACATTGTTATAGAATTTAAGTTATTATAGATTGAAAGAATTTTAGATCTTAGAGAGAATTTAGTCCATTTTATTGGTATCAAAGCGA